ATATGGAAAAAGGGAGATTCACATTATCCCCAAAGACGACCATCCCTTGTTGACTTTTTTCTTAATACACCGAGATGTAATGTGGTATAGATATGTTGTCATGGTCACATGTATGTGTATTGAATGTATATATGTATGTTGATATGTATGCATGTACATGTGTAGACATTTGCTATTTCAAACAACCCCTGTGTACTTTCTCGTTTTTATTTTACTTTGATTAATTTTGTTTGCTATTTCGTTTGTCACTTTTGGGTCTCTAAAAATATATTATTTGAAAAACTGTACTTGTACTATAATGTGACCCCAAATAGATAAAGAATAAAAAATAAATTAAAAAAAAAAAATACAACTGCATTACTGTTGCACCCATAATTATAGTAAATAAAACATTCTTTGAGATTTTTTCTTCTAATGTTCAGGTATGCATTATTTTACTGAGAGTATTGTAGAAGCGGACAAAGTTGTAGGTAACATTTGAAAGAAAGAAGCATATCAATTCATTTTGAACACTTCAATGTCCTCTGAAACAACTTGAGAATTCAATGTGTAATAACCCAGCAACACACACATAGTGATACATGTAAGTCATAGACATCTGCCTTTGAATAAAGAATTACTATAATAAAAAGATATATCAGAAATGCCCTTTTTAAAAGATTCCTGCAAATACCAATGTATTGCTTAAATCCTTGCCTTGAGGCCACATGCATGATGAAACAATACTTTTAATACTTCTATAGTTTCCAACATCTAAAAGAAAAAGTCAAATCAGATAGACGGACATAAATAAAATAACTATTCTGTCCACAACTGATATAGCGTGAGAACCTCTGTGTGTATTTAAATCATAGCGTCATAGCGATGAATAGGTAACAAGTTGCAATGCAAAACCTTTGTTCTGCCAACAGCAATTATTCAGCTTTTTTCCTCATATTCCCTGTGAGTGAAAATTCCCAAGGTGTCTTTTGTAATCGGGGAATTTTGTGATACTCAGGGTCTTGAAACGTGTTAGATTGCTGCTGTATTTATTTCAGAATGTCCTTCTTGTCTATCAGTAAATAAGCATTCTTGTCATTCTTTGCTTTGTGGTTTTTGTTCCACAGCTGCAAAATGCCTGTAATAACTATTGTCCGATTACAACAGACTGTGTGATTTCACCATTGTTTGGGAATTTCCCTGAAGAGAATCTTGCAGAATATTATTAAGCCGCAAGACTACATGAAGACTTTGGCTTTGGAAAAGGTAGAGACACTTTTTCAGATGATTTAGCTGCTACAATAATAAACATTGACATTCCTTTCTTTATCTCGCTATCTAGAATTTCACCTGCCCTGCCAAAATGAGCGTAGTGGGTTTTTTTTCTTACATTGTGTGATATAAATGATTATAAACACGAATATCTGTTACATGTATTTTGAGGACATTTTGCCCTTGACCCTTGTTCTCCCTTTAAGTAGTTGCATGTAATGTTCTACTAATGAAGCAGCTAAACAAATTCTAAAACATTCTGATTATGTGTTCATGCGTGGTTGCTGATATTTTTAAAGGTCCCATGTCATGCTTTTCCGGTTATTACCCGTCGCCTTGTGTGTTATGTAGCTTTTCTGCATGTAAACGGTCTGCAGAGTCACAAACCCTCAAAGTACACCCTGTAGCGAGTAAAACTCTAACACAGAAAAGACCTGTCTGTGCTGCCCCAGAACGCCTCGTTGGAGCTCCAACAAGACGTTTAGGACAGAGAGTGAATACACACATACTGTGATTTTGGAATATTGAACAATGTAAATCTATTCTCGTAGACCTCAACAATGGAATTATGATCAGTAGAAATGGCCATGTCACTTTAACAATACTAGTTGCACCTGTTTTGTTGTTTTTTTGCTTTGTAACAGCTCTAATATTCCAGAAAGTAATTAGGTAACCTAAATCATATCTCCAGTCTTGGTATGTAATATTGATACATTTAAAAATGACATTGTGTGGTCTCGGGTGCACAAACTACTTAATGGTGACTCTATTGCTACTCTAGTGACTACTTCAAACATATTACTGCCATTTCTGTTCTATTTCTTATTGGTCACCATAAACAGTGATGTGTCTGTGATGAGCTAATAGACTATTTATTTAGTGCATATTTCTATTCAAAAAATATGTTTAAAAGTTAGCAGATCATGCTGTTTATTCTCTCACTCTCTCTGTGTGTATCCGTTCGGGGGGGGGGTCCTGAATGGAGCAGGAGGCAGACTGGATACCCCACTCTTTGATCCTCCACATAACAAAGGCACCTACAAAGGCTTCCATACAGCCTGTAGCATTGTTCTGCTGAGGAGACTATAGCTCATAAAGCCATTACCATCATCCCTACACAATACCTTTTCCAGCACCTACTTAAGACCTCAAATCACTACTGTATATGGCTTCGCTGCTTGCCAGTTTGCATTTTGTCACTCTGTGATCCCATGAACTTCTAAGTATACAGCCATGCCCAGATTATCTAGCTTGTGGCCCTAGGGCAGACATTTCCTATATAGGCCCCACCTCACTGTCACCGATCTGTTCTGCAAACTGCGAAAGCCCACCCCTCAAATCCTTATTAACCCAAAGATATTCAAAGAACGTGCAGGGATGGGACACTATAGGATGTTATCATGGATCGCGACAAAAACACTCTCAAAAAAGTGGTGTGGTGATTTTCCAGAATAAGGATGATCGTATACATCCTTACCTTTCCTATCGAGTTGAGAAATGTAAAATGGAGCCTAATTAAAATATAATAATACAGGAACAAAAAAATAAAAAAACAGACTTGTACCATGTTTCCATTAACTTATGTATCCTTCATTTAGGAAGGGAGCTCTTTTGATTTAAGATAACATTTTTCAAGATTGTCTTAGTTTTCACCTTAAAGATGTTCACTCAAAAGAGATGTCCTACCTGTCATGTAATTTTATATATATTTTGTTCCTGACTTTATGTAAGGTTATGTTGTGCTAATAAGAGTTTTAGGTATTGATGATAGTTGGAATAATATTGCAAATTGATTAAACATACGTTTTATCTTTGTTTTGGCTTGTATATTTGTTATGACATTTTCATACTGTCCAATGCCTGTAATGTCAGTATTTGTGCAACACATTCACAATATAGTCACCCCATAAATATACTTAATGAAGTCAGTTAATTGAGTCTCTTATGGTCTCTGGCAAAGAGTGGCGACCCTCTAGAAGCTGGTGTTAACTTAGAATTGTTTACAGCAGCTTAAAAATACTTTTTAACAACCGAGTCACCGATCATATCCCGCCATTCAAAGTGGACATATTTGTAACCACTTTCGTCACTACAGTATACTGTATTTACCGGGAGTGGCCTCACTGTAGCCCCAGTGTACCTTGCCTAGCTGATCCCGCCCCTCGCTGGGGAGAAAGCTGGTGCACAGGCTTGCAGTGGAGTGGAGAGTGATCCCATCGCATTGACTGTCGGAGTAGCCCACCCCTCTGCAGTATGCATGTTCGCCAGGGAATCCGCGAAGTTCTCACGTCCCAGCAGTGTACTTCACCGGCGAGAGACCATCTACTCAAGAGTCGAGGATAATAAACTTGGATGTGGCAGGCGGACCGGAGGCGGAAAGCCCGGAGTGACCGGAGGAATATAGGATTACTACAGGAATACAGGCTGCCGCTCTCCTCTGAACGTGGACAATCATGCATGTGCTCTTCTGGGGCTTGGGGTTCCTACTTTTCCCTGATTTCTTGAATGTTGTTGCCTCTACGGGGAAATTGCTTTTGAATTCAAACACAGGTAAAGTATGCCGCTCCGACTACCCATGCATTTCCCCTCATAAAGTAGTTCTCTAACATTGAAGGCAGAGAATGAATGAGTTTGAATTCAGCCAAGCACATGACTTGCAGCGCTTTTTCTTTAGATATCTAAAGTTTACTGAATGTCATTTCCTTGAATTGCTGTGAAACAACGGATTTTTCCAGGAAAATAAAATTGATATGCATATTACATATTCGGTCTCTTTGATTTGTATTGATGCAATTGGATTGCTACTTAATTCTCAACTGCTTTGTTATTCCCCAGCAAAAGAGGAGATCGGCGCTTATGAGATTGTAACACCGGTGCGAGTGAATGAAGCCGGTGACAAGTTTCCCACAAGTGTGCACTTCAGGAGAAAAAGGCGAAGTTTGGACGAAAGCACCGGCAACAGCACGGATCAGTGGGCCTCGTCAAATATCCATTACAGGATATCTGCTTTCGGACAGCATTATCACCTCAACCTCACGCTGGATTCGGGATTTATCGCACCTCTCTACACTGTGTCAGTATTTGGAGGGCCCCGAGGAGATAACATAACGGATTTTGCAGCAGATGGGGAGGTGGAGGAGGAAGAGGACACGGAGTTAAGGCACTGCTTCTATAAAGGACTTGTAAATGCAGAAGCAGAACACGCCGCAGTCATCAGTTTGTGCTCCGGACTGGTGAGTTTTTACGCACGGTTACACTCGTCGTGCATGTGATGACTTTACCACCGGGTGCTTTACTTTTCAACCATGGCTATTTAGTGGGCATTATGGCAAGACCTGGAAACCTGCCTCAACTTTGGTTTAGAAAGAAAAAAGTAAAGACATTGTTAGTGCAAACTTAGTGCGCAAACTGTTTTTAAATGATAGAGCAACTATCAAACGTAAACAGTCATACATTAGTCTGCTTTCAAATATGTTTTGAAACAGTTCAAAACTGTGTATATCCAATTAAAACAGTTGTAAACATTCATCAAAATGAAGTGAAGCTAAAGCTGAGTTATTTGGACAATGAGTTGTTATGGCTTATGTTTGTTGCAGGATCCTCTAGTGGGGCTTTCAGAGTCTAAATAACTCAAAATAGTACAAAACTGTGCTAACTTTCTAGAGTCGCAAGTCCATTGGTTGCAGTCAAGTTTAATGAACACTCGGCTCTAAATCTTACTCCCATGCCTCTTTCTGGACTCCCGGTTGTCAGTGACGTCTTTACGCACGCTAATGCAGCGGGAGTACGGGTGGTACCGACGTCATCACAAATTGGTCCGAACTCCCAGGCTTGCGTTTTAGAGTGGAGCAAAAGTGCCCTCTGAGTTTATATCTAAAAGCACCACAGAGGTGACAGATACATACGAGACAAGGTTTAATGTACTCCCTAATGACTAATCAAATTAAAATATGTCTGAATGCTCTGCACTGCAGAGAGCTTTAGGGATTTGAACTGACATTTATGGAGCATACATTCATATTTATTCAAGCCTTCTGAGGCCCATTTGTTATATAAAAAAAGACAATACTGCGGATAGCCACACATTCTGTACATCTTAAAATGTGATACTTGTTTTTCTTGCAGGGAAGCTTGTAGGGAGATTCTGTTTAGCCTTGCCAACTCTCCAGATCAATCAAAGCGCAGTTCATAATGTAGTAATGTCAATTGTGTACTGCTCAAGGGAATGTAAGGCAGAAAGGAAGCTTCAGTTTTCCCCCTCACTAAAAAACAATCCATCCTGTAGCACATATTTTGCACAAAATAAATAGAAAATGTTTTCTCGTGAGAACTTTAAAAAACAGTATTATATTACCATCAGGGATTACAAATGTGTGTGGCAAACTTGTATCAGCCCCCAGGGCTGCCATGATGATTCTTCGTTGCCAATGAGCAAAATGTGCTTGGGTTGGCAGCTCCTTATCTGGAACATCATAGACCTCCACGTTAGCCAGTCACACTAGACGTGCCAGGTGAAATACATAAAACAGGGCTTTCAGCAAGCCTGCCAAAAACATACAGTCTCACTATTTTCCCTGATAGTCATCACAGGTCTTACTGTTATGCTTTTCCTCCTGCTTTGAGACCAGTCTAACATGAATGCAAAAATACATCTATTGAAGCCCTTGGGTCTCTGAATTGCTTATTTTCTCTAATTATGAGTAAATTAGCCACATTCAACTGTTGCTTGCAATAATACTTTCTGTACATATAACATACATTGCATTAAAGTGGTATGGCGGCTCCACTGATTTGCAGAACTATCTTCCTGAACCATACGGTATATTCCCCTTGGTCCTGTTTGTATTCACTTTGCAAGTTTTCCCCATGTTTGCGTTGCTGCTGTAAAGGAATGAACATTTATAGAAAATAGACTCATGGAGACTAACTGTTGTGCATTTTTGTTCTGCCATCCAGCTTGGCACTTTCAGGTCTCCAGAAGGAGAGTACTTTGTGGAGCCCCTACACAGCTATCAAGGAGAACATTATGAAGAGGAACACACAAAACCTCATATTGTATACAGGAAGAGCGCACCCAAGGAACCACCATCTGGGGAGAACACAGCTTGTGACACTTCAGGTATTTGATTTACATGATGCATTTGCATGCATGCAATTTATACAGAAAAGGTTATCACAAATGTACAAACTCTAAACACCACAAACAAAGCCACATACTGTACATACCTTAATGCCTCTATACATGCACTTTCAAACAGAGACACACACGTGCAACTAATGTTAATTCGGACCTCGTCACCACTGAGATGGCCAATTGGCTGTCTTCAATATCTTCTCAAGTCAACTATCACTCAGTGTCCCCTTTCTAGCTAACTAGTCCACTGATGTTTCTGACCATGGACCTCCCAAGTGCTACATTTAAAAACCAAAAACTGTGTATGTGGTTGCTTCTTGTGCTTGTAAGTGTTTTCATGTGTTACGTGTGTATTGTGAGTTGAATTTTCCATTTTGTGGGTCCGTATGTTACACATAATGTGACCTTTTTAATTGGTTCTTTCAGACATCATTGTGTGCTTCCCTCAAAGGCTCTGCTATCAGTTGCAACAGGGGACCAATCATCTAATAGAAACTCAGCTGTTTGAGCTATGACAGTCATAGCTCAAAAATAAACAAAATGACTCCGCAGTGCTGGTCCTTGAACATAAATTATTCGTAAAATGAAACGATTGATAATATTAGGGGGAAAAGGAACGATGCTTAATGATTCAATAGTGAAATATTGTTTACCTTTTTTTTCTGTGCCATTTCTTAATGAAATAATCTAATTGATGTGGACATTTTTCAAATTGACAGTATTTAAGTAGAAGTATTGTATTGAAACTATTTTGGCTTTCATATCATGTCTTGGTCTGCTCAGTGCAGAGCCCACTGCTACACAGTAGTGAGGAAGCTTTCCAACTATCACACAGGAAAATCATTTGTAAGTTCACCCTTGTATCACTCCATCTCAGTTTACTGGCTGAACTTCCTGTTGACTCTTGTACTTCCTCCTC